GATTGGTTATTCATGTCATATATAGAAGTAAGTGTATATATAAGGGAGTGTTTCCAAAAATGGAAAGAGGTGGTCAGGGTGCCACCGTGTTTGTTGACTCGTATTCAAAATTTTATTGAACTACTATTTCATGACTTTATGTCAACAAGTTTGGTATCAAACTGTAGATTATAATTCAAATTTTAGTATTATACATTACTCAATTTCTTAATTTAAAAGTTAATATTAAAAAAATACAATTAAACATCGATTTTTGTATGTCACGTGGTATGTTGAATGCAGCACTGGTTCAAATCAAATGTTTGTGAAGTCAAAATACTAAGTCTATAGTTTCACACGAATTACAAACTCATTACCGATATTGACAAGCTAGAATATAAAATAAGAATATTTTGAGATATTGCTCATGTAATAAATCAAACACAGTGGCACCCTGCCCACCTCTTTCCATTTTTGGAAACACTCCCTTATATATACACTTACTTCTATATATGACAATAATAACCAATCAAAAGCTCAAATTGTCCCCCTAGTGGCTTTCTTAGCTATTTTAAATTCTTAGGACACCATTTCTTTCTTTTGAACCTAGATTTCAAGGAGGTAGGTTGTGTCTTTAGTCTGCTCAAAATTTCACATTTTTTAGACTAAAATACAGCTTAGTTACTGAGCTTGATAAATTATAGTGGATTTCTATGGTAATGATATAGTAATTTATGATTTTTTGGTTATTCAACTGTATATATAAAACCTAAAAAATATTTCATTTTATATCTTTAATGTGCGAAATTCTACAAGGCTTAGCAACCTACGTCAAACAGCAACCGAGTACAAAGGTCATAACTAGAAGAGACAATTGTTTACTTTACTCCTTCATTTACTGTTCTATGTTTTAAAAAAATAAGTTTAAGAACTTATTTCTAAATAGCAATAATCTATATACATATATAATGCTTGAAATGTGACTGTATTTTACAAAATACTAGTGTATTCAAACACAGCCAAGACAGATCACTTTGTAAATACTAAAAGTCAGTTTTATATTATTGGATAGGGTAACATGAGTGTACATGTACCGCATATCATTGTAACTTCTGTATTGTTAGCCAGGCATGGGTGAAATGACAATATAATAAATGTATAATGTTATGAGATTTAAGCTATTTAGTCTAAACATTTATGTTTTCATGTTAAAATTTGTGTTATTCTGGAATGAAAGAGGCATAACTTAAATTTATTTCCTAAT